ATTCTTCATATGTAATTTAAAAGCAAGCTTTTTTTTGTAAAAACTTTAATTGAATTTCAATAAAGTTAAAGGCATGGTCTCACTATTAATATTTAAAAAAAAAAAGATATCTTAATGAATTTTTACTCAATTTTAATAATTTTAATATTATTAAAATCAGAAAGACCTACTCTATAACTTTCACTTAATAATTCAAATTAGTTTATTTAATATAGTTTTTTATAAATTTATAATATAAAAAAAATTTACTACTAAGTTTATATATAATTTTAAAATAATACACTTTATTTTTAAAACAATAAAATATATAATATTTTTTTTATTACTTTTTCTTAGTTTTTTCTTTCCTTTCTTTTTATTTTTTTTTATTTTTTTTATTTTTCTTTACTTTTTTTTTGTATTATATCTTTATTTTTACTTTTACTTTTATTTTATTTTTATCTTTACTTTTATTTTTGCCCTTACTCTTATCTTTATCCTTATTTTCACTCTTATCATTATCTTAACTTTTATTATTATTTACTTAATACAGTACACCCTGTCAAAACTGGTGTGCATTGTGGAGAGGTTTTATATCAGTTTTAAGAGGGTATCAGATTTGAAAAAAATCTAAAATTCGACGAATGCCATATCACATGATATACGTGAAAGATGATTGGCTGGTTACCAAACTTATTCGAACAAATAACAATAACATAACGTAAAAAATTTTTATTAATGCAGTGCATATTATTTATATATAAACAATATGTGCACAAACTTTAAAATCGTAAATGTCAAATTCAAAAAAAAATATATATGCAAAAAAATTTATATGCATTTTATATATACGGAAAATTTGCACTGCATTTACTGTGCTAATCTAATTTACACTTTAATTATGGGTCGTTTTGCTTATAGATCAGTTAAAGTTAAATGAGAATCTTTATTTTTTGTGATTTCAAGAGAAAATCTGATGTGTTAGACATAAATTGACAAAAGTATAAAGATGTTAGTAATTCAAACCAATTGGTCTTTTTTAATGAGATCAGTAGTCGGAATCTAAACTAGAGATGCAGGCAAATTGTTACAATAATGTCATAACTTAAGCCATAACTAGTTAAAGCTTATGTTGTAACTAGTTACAATAATCATTAAGATGATTCACCTGCATCTCTAATCTAAACTATTAATATTCATGCTAGAATTTTTGTTCTAATTTTCTACCTCAGTCTTCTTTTTGAATAGGCTTGATAGCTTTGAATGAACAATAAGCAGATTTTCTGCACAGGTAAGATTTCTGAATAGCTTCTAGGAATATCAGTTACGTATTCACAAGTTAACAGCTGATTACTTGATTTTCTAATGGTTATGTGGAAATCGATCTATAAATAAGCCTTATCTATCTTGAATTAACTGTATATTTTATATAGAACACATTCCATTACAACGTTTTAATATAAATAATAAAACATAAAAATATATATGTATATAAATAAAATTAGTACCAACAACAGTTGGAAACTGAGTCAAGTCTTAGCTTTAAGCCATGGATCAAAGCTATTATATGACTTGAACCTAACCAGTTTCTGACAGAATTGTAAATTATAATTTAGTGGCAAGTTCCAAAATAGTAATTACTAGTAACTTATCATGGTAACTTACTGGTAATTTACCATAGTACAGTAAGTTACTACTGACAACTCTGATGCTGAAGTTGGCTTAAGATCAAACTGCTAATTTTCTTAGAAAAGAATAAAAGCAATAAATTTGTGTCAAGACTGTGTCAATGTGCATAAATTTGGTAGTATATTTGATAAGAGAAACATTAAATGCTTAGAAATAAAAAAAAAAATAAAAAATAAAGTACTCTTCATACATAACTAAGCAAATTAGCCATCATCAGAAAATTAGATTAGATGTAGAATATTTTGCTGAAATGTATTGAAAAATAAATAAAATTAATAAAGAATTAAATCAGTATAAAAATTTCTTTTATCCTGCTTTTTTTTTTGTAAATTTCTCTATCAACAGTATTTGCATTCATATACAAAAAACATAGGCAATTTAACTAATAAACAAAGAAAGGCGATATGTGATCATCATCAAACGAATCCGTCTATAACCCAAAAAAAACTTGCTAAATAGGCAAAAAAAGAATTTAATCTTACAAAGGCCTTAGATCAAAGTACAATATCAGACATCTTAAAAAAAAAAGAAGAGCTTAATAAAATAACATCAAATGATCTTGAAATTAAGAAGCGCCATATTATGATGTTCTCTGAATTGAATACTGCTTTGGCAAATTGGGTATTACAATGTGAACACTGAGGCATATGTCTAAGTAGTAATCTAATTAAAGCCAAGAGTAAAAAGTTTGCAGACATGTTAAATATTTTTGAAAATAACCAACCTGAATTTTCAAATGGCTAGTTATATTCCTTTCAAGAAAGGCATAGTTTTTATAAATTTAAATTACATGGTGAAAGTGGTTCTGCAGACATTGAAGCTATTAACTCGAGTCTTCCAGCAATCATTAGCGCTACTGATCGATACCCCTACATGATATCTATAACATGGATGAAACAGGTTTGTTTTACTTTATAGGCTCTGACCATATGATTGCATCTCATCAGATTGAAGGATCAGAAAAAGACAAAATAAGAATTACAATTGCACTTGCAGCTAATGCTGATGGTACCTACAAGCTTCAACCATTTTTTATTAGATATGCGAAAAAACCTAGGTGTTTATTTTTATTTTTTATTTTTTTGTTGTAAAAAGCTTATCTAAAGAGTAACACCGGGAATTGTAATTAATCTAGGTGTTTCAAAAAAAAAACTGGCAAACAACTTGAATTCTACTATTGTAATAACCTAAAAGCATGGATGAGTGCTATGTTTTTTCAGAAGTGGATGAAAAAATTAGATAAGATAATGAGAGAATCAAACCATCATATTCTTCTTATTCTTAACAAGGCTTCTATACATGTTATTGGCTTTCTTTCTTTTTCCAATATAGAAGTTCTTTTCTTACTATCCAAAACAACATCAAAAATCCAACCTATAGACGCTGGTATTATTGCATCATTCAAGCTCTATTATCATTGCCTACAACTTCAGCATGCAATTGATTTGGATAAGGCTAGTGAAAAAGTTATCTATAAGGTTGATTAGTTGCAAGACATGAAGTGGGCAAAAATTGCCTGGAATGAGGTGCCTTCTGAAACAATTAAGCATTGTTAGGCTCACACAAAAATTGTAACACTATATGATAAAGCTGGATTACCTATTTCTGTTTTTCCTATTACTAACACTAATGATTCCAAAATTGTAGAGAAAAACCTAGCTAAAGAACAAAAATTAGTTGAAGAACTTTAATATTAAATCGATGCATTATATATTCATATTCCAATGTCAGTTAATAACTGGTTGAATTCTGAAGGTGAACAAGAAGTGCACCAGCAGTTTACTGATGAAGACTTTGTTCAAGGTGTCACAGAAATAGAGCAAGAGGAAGAAGAAGAGGTAGAGGTCATAGAACCAACTCTAACTGCAAAAAAAAAGTTGGCTGTTTTGCGTGATGCATTAAAAATCATTACTGAGATGGTTGATAATAGTGGCGCAATATTAAAATCTCTTCGTAAAATACAAACCCATATCCATGAAGAGGTTCAAAGAAAACAAAATAAAAAACAGGTTCAATGTATGCTGGACAAATTTTTTTAAGGTTTGCTTTCATGATTTCAGTAATAATCCATAAAACGATTAAAATATACAGTATTAAAAAAAACTTTTTTTTATAAATTCTCTCAGCATAAATAAATAAATTCTTGAGTCTTTTTATTTTATCTAAATAAAATAACATGTAAGTATTGATAGATCAGTAAAATAATGAATTGTAATTCATTTTTCTTTTCTTAATTTATAGCATAATAAAAAAAATAGTCAAAGCCGCACTTACAGTATAAGCAGCCAGTTATAATCTAGAAGTAGAGCTTGAGTACTTAAAACCTTTTTAAAATTGATAATCAGTAAGATGAAGCTTGTACACGTATTGGTTACAATCTTCCTCAGGGTTGCTGTAAAAAAGTTACTGTTATGTGATGATTAAAAATTTTTTAAAGTTTATTTAGGTTAGGGTTAGCATTTCTAACAAAATGAGAAACTAGCAGAGTTAAAAAAAATTCCTTAAGCAATTTTACTAAAAGAGCACAAAAGGTAGTTTCTTATACAAGTTTTTGAGAAATAAATGATTTTTGAAAAATGATCGTTTTGTTTTAATCTTTTTGATCATGTAACATTATATTAAAACAAGGCTTGCTATTGGATGATAATTACGTGAAAGTGAAAATTTGATAGCGATCCAGAGGTAGTTATTAGTTATATGTCTATTCACATGATATTACTTTTGTTTTCAAACCCAATATCTCATTTTTTGAGTATCGATTATCGAAAATAACAGATTACCGGGTTTGGATTATGAAATGGCTATGGTGAACCAATTTTGTACTGATTATAAGGGGTTATCAGTTTTGACAGAATTGGTTTTGACAGGATCAGTTTTGACAAGGTGTACTGTATACTTGTAGGTCTTTTTTTTCTTTTATTTGTATTAATCTACTGGTTCTTATTGTAGATATTTTTGGTCTTGTTGTTAATAAGCTTGTAATTGCTATAGCCAATATATTTGCTGTTGTTGTTGCCAATATTTTTGCTATTGTTGCTACTAGTATTCTTGCTATTATTGCTACTAGTGTGCTTATTGTTGTTATTACTAGTATGTTTGTAGTTATTGTTATAATGTGCTTGCTGTTATTGCTACTATTAGCTTATAGTTGTTGTTACTAATGTATTTGTAGTTATTATTGTTATAGTTTCTTGAAGACTTAGTAGAAAAAACTTCTTTTTCTTTTTTTTATTCTAGTTTTTTTATTTTTTTATATAATAAGACTTTATTATTATTATTAATATTATTTTTTTTTTACTGATTTTTTTATATAAACTCTTTTCTTACTTTGTTTATGTTTGGATTTTTTTTTTTTTTTCTCTTAGATCTTTATCTTTAGTTAAATAATTTGCATCAAATTTTAATTTAAAAATATTATATTAGCTTAGTGCATTAGCTAATAGTATCTAGTTAGAACAATCTCATAATGATGTTTCTTTTTTATTTATATGACTTTCATAATGCTATTAGTATATTTCATATTAGCAGATCGATGGAATTTAATATTTACTGATCTGCAAATAATCACGTGTTGATTAGATAAAATTAAAAAAATACTGTGTCAAATTTGTTTCCCCATCTAAAAAAAACAACAAAACATAAGTTAACCTATTTCTCCCATTCAAAACCTATTTCTTTTTTTTAGGAAATAGTAGAAATTACTTGAACATAATAATAAATATGGTAAAAGTATGTATATAGAACTTGAATCACAAATTTATAATTTTTAAACATAATAATCAAAAAGTTATAAAACACAAATATTTTTTTGTATGTTGTTAACCTACAAAAACGACCATAACTTTTGAACTACTGAACAGAATTCGATGAAACTACCACCATTCGAATCAGC